ACAGTTTAAAGTGATACAGAAGTTACTCTATCGTGCTAAAGGGGAGCTAATGTTTGGTAAAAGTCTCAGGGCCGGCTTTAGGCATTTGGTGATGTACCACATGTATATAATAACATTAGAAACAAAAATAAAAACAAGCAATCAAAAGTAAATACAATACATTACATAAAATAAATACATACAAAAAACAAAAACAATATAAATGTAAATATATAGATAAATTAAATACAATGATGAAAAAAATCTCCAAGCATTTCCTGCTTGATTAAATAAGAAAAACAAAAGGCTTTAGGGGTCGTCTCTCAAGGACATTTGAACCAACTACAGACAATTGGATTTAATTTAATTTGTAATGTTGTTTATTCCCCATTTAACTTGCATATGACTGCTTAGACTGTAATAAATAACATCAGAAATTATAAAGATGTTAAAATTATCTTTCCAGCTTGTCAATTCTTTTGTAAATATTTTAATTTTACTTCCTGGTTGGTGCACATACCAAATCTCCTCTCATGTTAAATGTTCACAGAAATAATTATTTGTCAGATTCTTAAACATAATTTTAATGTAAAATATTGAAGGTATAATATTAATATTCCCCTAAATACAAGTGTCATAAAACTACTGTATATCAGTTGGAAATAATTTAGAAATTTGCAAATCTTGTATCTGTTCATGATGTCATCAGACTACTACATGTTCACATATTTTTTCATACATTTTTAAATAATAAAACAAGTGTCCTTCCTCAAAAAAAAAGCTACATTTTGATTATAATAATAAAAAAAAAAACAGTCATATGCATTTAAATAGGCTAAAAAAAATGGTTCTCCATCAAAACTCCATCTAAGACAATATGTAGCGTCATCAGATCATAGCAGGATTTGTCTGGATCTAAACAAGGACATGTGGGACAAAACAATTTTTCTATATTACCTGTAGTTTTAAATGAGGATTACCGCAAAATAAAATAAAAAGTGGGGAAAAGAAATAATATTGTATGCAGTTTTTAAATATTTTGAATGTACCATTAAAACTCTGACCCTGTGAGTTTTTGTGCCACTAAACAATAGCTTTACACCTCGAACCGGCCCTCGACCAATTCAATCTTTTAAGACTAACTAATATTTGAAAAAACTATTCAAACACACACAATAATACTGAAATAGGAAATCGAATGATATTCACTTGGGCTTAAATTAAACACGATAAACTTCAGATTCAAGTCTTCTAATCATTCATACAGAATCAAATAATTATTCTTTTTTCTCCCTGGTCAAAGCTACGTCTCCTTTTAACTAGTCATACCAAAGCTGGTTCCTCCCGTGGCCACCAGAGGGCGCCCGTCACCAGTCTCCAGCAGTCACAGCTCTATACATTACAATATTCCCTGAAATACTGCATCGCGCTAGTTTCTACTCATACATTCGGCCGTGAAAGAGGAGTAATACATTACACAGGTTAAATAGAGCTATATATATATACATTAGGGCTCCAGGGGGTGTCATTACTACGGATGGCTACGGCAGTGTGTTCTGGGCATGCTCGTGTGCGGGTGGCCTATATTCAGCCAGGAATGGGCAGTATTGCAATAGGGATATAAATAAAACATATCCCCACCACTAAAAATTCCCTCAATTATCTCAGCACCCCCCCTTGAGTCGAAAAAACCCTTCCACATGTGTGTTTCTGGGGTGTGCGTGTTAAACTTGAGGTTACTCTATGCACAAAGCTGTCGATATTGCACATTTGTTGCAGGCGCTGTGTGCAATTTTCAGTGTGAGGGTCTCGGGCAGATTTGTAAAGTAATCATGAAAATCGACAATGAAGCAAATGACCAGAGAAAATAAACAAGAAAAACATATAAAACAAGTTCAAAGGTCATGTGACACATTTCTATCATTTTGACATTTTAATAGTACTGAGTTGGAGGAGTGCCATGGTCAGATTCGCTGTTGGACACCAGGCACTATCAGAATTTCAGAAACTCCCAGGACAGTCGTTTTGACGGCTCTCATCAAGCTCAAAGCCATTCTGAAAATGGCAAGTAATTTATCAAGTTTTTTTCTCACGTTTACTTTTGATTACACTGGAAAGTTTTACATTCAACTGGATTTAAAGGTGGAGCTACTCACATTTGAAACACTAAATGAGCTGAGTGATCACACATCCAAAACTAAAAGCCGCCAATTTGACTGCTCTGGGTGTTACAGTGTTAAAGCTGGGATACCTAACTTTCATCCATCCATCCATTTTCTACCCTTTAATCCATTTCTGGGTCAGGGGGGTGGCAGTCAGAGATGCCACCCAAGTCTCATAGCACCAGCCCCTCACTGACCCTCTGCAGGTGGTGAGTCCACAGGAGGACGGCTGCTCTCTGACTGTGAGCATAGCCTTGATCTTTCAGTGGGGGCTTTGGGCAAAGTGTCTTGCCCAAGGACACAACGACAGCAGTCAACAGTGGGAGACGGTGGAGAAGGTGCAGAGGTGGGAATTGAACCCACAACCTTCTGGCCTTAAGGCCAATGCTCTACCAACTGAGCTACTGTCGCCCCTCCCCTAACTTTCAAACTACAAAAAATAGAACAATCCCTACAAATCTCATTCTACATTCCATCACTATAGTTCACCTGCATGTCATTTTTTGTGTCTCTGTCACATCTATAGATCCGATTTCACAGAAACAAAAGTGAAACAGAGCGGACCACCCTGACTCAGCCAATCAGCTCTCAGCCCAAAGTGTCAAACAGTGATTCCCAGGGCTCTTTCCGTCAATTACACAAACAATAACGTGTTTTTTCCAACAAGAAGAAGAAGAGAGAATTCTGTGGTGGGATTTGTTCACAACATTTTACTTTCACAAGACTCTTTTTGTTGGAACATAATCTATTATTTATGAAGCAGAACATTCAGAGACCCCAGCTTTAAAAGTTTGGTACTGAGCTGAAGGGATTCCATGGTCCAATGTGTTGTTTTAACTGAGAGATTGAGAATGAGTGAACGCACACTTCGTCTCATCAGAAAAAATATACAAAAGTTTCAAGATTTCTTTGACTTTGACTTAAACCTCTGACATAATTTAAAAACAAAATGAATAAGACATTATTTTTTGACATTTGTGGATCATAAGTTTGTATTAAATGAATGCAACCAATTGTAACATTTTATACAGTTTCCTTTTCACAATTTAAAGCTGCAGTGTGTAACTTTTCTGCTGGAGTCTGCTACAGCTGCTTTTTGCTATAGATTTTTAACTTAAATACGCAGGAAAGGATTCAGGTTAGCTTAGCAGTAGCACCGACTCAAAACCACTTTGCTTTTGTTCTATCGGGCGGCTCCAAAATATTTATGATTTATGTTTTGCGGCTACAGGCATCTGGTCATGTCCATTCCTATTTGAAAACACATGATAATTTTGACCACTTTTGGGGTTTAGGGAAATTTCCCCACAGTATTTAAAACAAAGAAATTGCGTCTTGATAAATAACTTACTACATCTGTAATTTTGTAGCTTCAATCATTGACGAATTGCAAATGATTAAATTAAAAACATCAGCCCATGACCAGGAGGAGGCAGACAGCGTGTTAGGCCTATCTCTTCTCTTCTAAATCAAAATGTAACTAATGGACATTCATAAACTACGGCTACAAATGACAAAAGTTCATGAAAAGTGACATTTCACCCAATACTCTTTCAGTAATACTGTTAAGAAGCAGTTTTGTTAAGAATATTGCTTCTTTGCTTGGTATTCCCCAGTACGTATGTCTTCTGTCTGAGTCCTATATCGGCTCAGCTTTCTATTCTGCAGATTTGACCCGTAACTTGATCGTCTCAAAGTAGCTGCGAGGTTTTGGTGCCATACCGTGGAGGATCCTAAGCAAAAAGCTCCACCAGAAAACTTTCACATCACAAAAGATAGCGTTTGATTTGACTGCAGTGGTCCCTCTGTTAACCTGTGCTCCCGGTACATCCAAAATGGATATGCCCTGGGATGATTTATTTTGATTTTTAGAGGGAAAACCCAAGGACGCAGACGGTGGAAAGAAAAAACAGACTTGGTGGTTACAAATGCATTACGTTTGCTGTGTTCAACATTCAAAAATTTCGTTCACATTTATGATTCGTGTGGGAAATTAAGCACCTGGTTTGGTCGACGTTAAAGGGGAGGTGGTTTCTGTCTATGCAGCAAAAACATACCCCACTTTATATATGTACAAAATGTGGTCTTCTCTCTCAGATTACAATGTCTCAATAGGTCAAGACTGCACCGAGGGAAACGGTGGAAAATGGTGGAAAAATGGACGACGGCTCAAGTCTATCGCTTGAATTCAGAATTTCAAAAGTATTCACTGCTGTTTTGATCATTTTAAGTTGTTTCTGACCTTTTTAAAGAACATGCCTTGTTTTTTGCAGAGAAAGAAATAATTCTGAATTTACACAAAGCAATGAAATCTCACTTGCGTTATACAAGTACAATGTATTATTATTATTATTATTGTTTATCGTTATTAGTATTTAACCCTCTAGTCGCCATGGTTACTTAAGTCGACAAAATGTGGTACTATTTAAAACAACCAATTGTGTCGAGCTAGGTGTTAAAGGTCCTTCAAACTCCCTGCCACACAAGAATTTGCACTGTTTTATTATTTCCCTGACCCTTGAGTGTGGTGCAATGTGAGTTCTGTTTGTGTGTTCATGTCCTAGTGATCTGTCAGTATTAAAATAATATATTTAATGAAGTCCAGGATTTCTACCACTATATGAAGTCATAATATGCAAATTAGATGAGTACATATCATTCCTACATAAACTTTGGGCCATCCTTATAATTTCTCATTTTCACATGAAGCCTCTATCTCTTTTCACTTATAAGTTATTAAGAAATTCAGATGTCAAAATTGAGCTTCATAGGATAAAAACTTCAGGCGCCTAAAGGGTTAATGAGCGGTTGAAAAACATTCTTCCACCATACTCGCCGTTTCCTCGTTAAATGCAACCTTTAAAACACATTGTGAAGTCCAAACAAACGTGTAGAAACAGCGGCGACGGTGAGACCAGTGGCTTCGGCCTGTGTCTGAGCCAGAGGAGGGGAGGTGATGGGGGGGCGGTGATGGGGGGAGGTGGTCGTCATGGCTCCTGCAGATATGGTACCGTCCCAGTTAAGCTCACAGTGCAAGTGGTTCTCGGGGGGGCGACTACTCCATGCCGTTACGGAGCATCTGATTGGCCGCGATGAGCATGACGGAGATGATGAACGCCATGGCGAAGGCGCAGATCAGGCTCTTCCGCACGCACGTCTGACGGTTCTTCTTCTTGGGATGGACTGAGGGAAGAAACACAAGGTGCGTTCAAGTTACGTGGAACAAAGAAGTGCAGTGTTATTGGAGCATGAGAAAGAGAATAACACTGTTTACTTGTTTTCACAGGCTAAATGCTTAAATGTGGTCTGTTCATTGCTGTTCACCCGTTGTCCCTCTGTCTCTTCCATGAATGCACTAGTGGGACTCGAAACCCTGGACTCCCTGGACCTGAGGACTGGTCCCCATTCTGCCGTTAAGAGTTGGTGGTTCTGTGACGCCCCTCGAGACAAGTGTTGTTATGATTTCGGGCGATACAAATACAATTGCTTTCATTTTATTTGATCTTATTTGACTTGACTGTAATGGACTTGTCTTTCATCAACTCTTTCCAAATACACAGAGCTCTTAACTTTTTTGTTCCATTAATAACATGTTATTTGTCCCAAAAGAAATTGAAAGAAGCATTGATTGATTTGTCTTTTTGTTTTTGTGTGAGTGTGAAAGTTGTCAGCTCCAGTACAAGCTATACATTATATATAATAAATCACATCTGCACACATATATACAGTATAAATTCACACACACACACAACCCCATTCATACACATTTACAAACATATACTCACATATACACACACACATATACGTACATATACACACACACCCAAATATACTTGTGAGATTTCATAACACTTTTAAGCAACTTTTGTTAAAGTTAAACTCATCATTCTATCAATGTGCAGAAGCCTGTACTTTTCCCTTGTTTTGTCTATCTGAAGGCCAAGCTACATGGCACCGTGGAAGCTGCTGATTGGAGGTCTCCATGCCTCCGCTCTGTATAATACACTTGCATTCTGTTGTATCTGTTGTTCGTGTTGTTCGTGCTGTCTCTACCATCGACAATAAAACATGTCTTCTGTCTGAATGAAAGACGCGATCCCAGACTATGTCATCTTCTTCATACTTATACACACCTATATACACCAACACACCCATACATACATACACGTATATGTACATATAGTATACACATACACACATAATCATAATTTTACTTTGGACTAGAGCAGAGAAAATGGTCCGAAACCAAGCGGCTACTCCACCTTGAGACCCGTCCTGCTCCACCCAGAGGCTACTCCACCTCTGCTGCTGTGACCTGAAGGGTCACAGCAGAAGATACATTTTTAGATACATTTTTATTTTTGCTGCTACTGGACACCTGAATTTCTCCTACGGGGATCAACCAAGTATCTATCTATCTATCTATAGATCTATATAAACACACACCCACATACACCCATGCATACATACACACATCTAAAGCAAAAGACAAGAGAAAAAAAAGAGAAAGAAAACCTCTTTAAAAAATATATAGGATTAATGATGCACAGAATATTAGAAATAACAATTGTAATCATAATTACAGGTAAATTACTACTTACTTTCTAACTTTCTTACTTACTACTTACTTAGTTTCATGTTTTAGAATGAGAAATAGTTGTTTAAATATGAATCCAAGCTTTTTTCTTCTGTTTTTCCAACGTTTTAACTTGTGAGTGAGGGTGGTCCTCTCTTTTTCACTTTTCAGAAAAAGCTGGTCTGGCGTGACAGAGGCCACAGATACATGTGGAAACTAGGGATACAACCAAACTGTGAGTGAGGAATTATTCACACGGATTTTGGTTATTTTTTGTGAAAGTTTGGTTGATTTAAGAAGAAATTATATACAGTAGATACACATGTATAAAAGGACCAAGCCTGATCTGACATCCAAACATTTCTTTAGTTCAAATAAATACGTAATATTTTTCATAATTCTCTCAAATAGAATTCAACCAAATGACTCTCCAGCCGTTGTCAGTTTTAGGGCGTGAGGTTCTGGGTTTAGATCATATTCCACATGAGTAAGCACTAGGCGTCAGTGGAAAATGGGCTTTTAAACAGCCAGACCCCGGCTCCAGGTGAGTCACCATCTGCCCTCCCCGGCTCCAGACAACAGCCCCCACAACAACCCCACACAACAATCAAGGACCCACAGCTGGGGCCAATATTGAGACTTATTTATGAGCAAGAGAGAAAATCGCTGTATAAAACCAAAGCAGTATTATTGTTATTATTATTAGGAGATTATAAAAAAAAAAAAACATATAATCCAGAACATTAGGAATAATTAGGTTTGCATTTCATGTTTAATTGTCATGGTGTGGATTTCGTCTGGTTTTGACTTCATTTCTGTGGTAGTAGTGTAGTTTTGCTTCAGGTCCTGTGTCCCTGTTGATTGTCTGCCCCGCCCCAATGTGTTGGACCTGTGTCTCTCTGTGTCTTGTACCTGTGCTCCTCTCTCCTCTGGTTGCTGGTCCATTGTCTTTGCTTGTCTTTGTCTATGTTCCTGGTGCAGTTTTTTATTTTATTCTACCTTGGACCTTCATTTGATTATGTTCATTCAATCTCTTATTTATATATAATCTTAATTGTTGCATTCTTGCTTCCTTGTCTCACCACATGACAGTAAATCCCTATCCCTCTGTCATTGCGTGTCTCCCTGTGGTTTCTCACTTTTTCCAAATGATTTTTCTGGAAGCAGGAAGGTCTAAAAACAGTGATGATCCAGGACATTTAAGGAAATGTACATTAATTCACATTTATAGACAGAGATCATCCTGCTCCCTATGGACCAATGGCTCCTTTGTGTTTGTTATTATTGCATTTCTGTGTTCCAACTGTCTGATTCTCTGATCAGTCGTCAGCGAAGATGTTCCTGTTTTGAATCGGAACAGGGCTTTTCTGAGCGAAGTTTGCACGTTCTCTTTGTGTCTACAAGACTCTTTCTGCTATATCATTTCTACTTCATACAGTGCACACTAAGTACACACAATAGACATTCAACAGTGCAAGGCTTAGAACAGGGGTGTCATTCGTGCGGGCCCGCCAAGAGATTTGACACGGCCCGCGGCTCATTCATGTAAAATGATAACAAAAATAATAATAATAAAAGAAATAAAAAATCTGTGCCGCACCGCGATGCCGCGTGCCGCAACGCTGAGCTCAGCAGTGAGTTGAGTGCCTCTGTAATGGCTCCCACCAGAGCGTGTTCTGTGACTGACAGTGACAGCAAAATGTCTCTGTCAAAAAGGCGAAAAGTGGACATCGAGTGTTGGGTTTTTCCAAAAAAAGTGGAGTAATTCTTATTTGTTCGCGGAGGTGAATGAAACTATGCTTGGTTTCATGCAACAAGTAGCATCTCACATATTCATTTGTGGTGTTACTGAAACTATCACAGAGGAGTTTTGAGCGCTGCTGCTGGTGCTGCTGCTGGTTCTGCTGTTGTTGCTGGTGCTGTTGAACAGTGTGGATTGGTCCTGTGCTCTCAGCCTGGTACCGATGGTAAAGGCAGGTGTTGTGACAAAGCCGCAAATGGAGGTGATGATATTTGGACATTTGACTGTATTTTACACAGAGACACTGCTGCAGTCGTTAAGAATCCTGTTATGGAAGTGGTTTTGTTCATTTCAAACTGAATCATGGTCAGTTTGATGCTTTCTCTGTGATAATAACATAACCATGGACCTTACCACACTGAAGATGGTTAATGTGATAATAACATAACCATGGACCTTACCACACTGAAGAAGGTTAATGTGATAATAACATAACCATGGACCTTACCACACTGAAGATGGTTAATGTGATAATAACATAACCATGGACCTTACCACACTGAAGATGGTTAATGTGATAATAACATAACCATGGACCTTACCACACTGAAGAAGGTTAATGTGATAATAACATAACCATGGACCTTACCACACTGAAGATGGTTAATGTGATAATAACATAACCATGGACCTTACCACACTGAAGAAGGTTAATGTGATAATAACATAACCATGGACCTTACCACACTGAAGATGGTTAATGTGATAATAACATAACCATGGACCTTACCACACTGAAGATGGTTAATGTGATAATAACATAACCATGGACCGTACCACACTGAAGATGGTTAATGTGATAATAACATAACCATGGACCGTACCACACTGAAGATGGTTAATGTGATAATAACATAACCATGGACCGTACCACACTGAAGATGGTTAATGTGATAATAACATAACCATGGACCTTACCACACTGAAGATGGTTAATGTGATAATAACATAACCATGGACCTTACCACACTGAAGATGGTTAAGCTGAGGTGCTGTGTTAAAGTGCTTTTTTCTGTCTACCTACTTTACCTTTGTGAGCAAGATTTCTCTGTAATGAGCCTTAAAACAAAGCTAACATACAAATATTAATATAAATATTGTGAAATGCCATTTACAATTTAATATAGTAAATACATTACATTATTTGCACTATGAAAAACTCACTGTTACATTTAAGTTTGTAACAGATTTACAGTGAGTATTAAAGGACAGTGTTTTAAAGGAAGTTTTAAACAAATGTGTTTATGTGCACAAAAAGTTGGACTTTGTACCGTTTTTGGGTATTTTTGTAGAGCATCTTCTGGTCTGGCCCACTTGAGATCCAATTAGGTTGTATTTGGCCCCCGGACCAAAATGAGTTTGACACCCCTGGCTTAGAAGGCACTCATAATAAGGCAAAAGTGTAAAGAAGCTATACTGCCAGGTACTGTCAGGTAATTACGCAGTGGTAGTAAGCACTGAAATTTCCGTACTGTGGGTAAATTGTATAGTACAAAATTATTGCTTTTGTATCTATTTTTACTTTCTCAACTTGTTGCACCATGAGCTAAAGCAAATTCCAATTTTGTGTATTCCCGTTACTTGAAATAATTATATGCACATGTTATTTTATATGTCACCTGTATGATTCCAAAAATGCTGTGATTATTTTATTGTCCAGTGTTGTGTGCAGCGCAGTACGTTACACCTCGCTGCTGTGGAAACATTGTTATGACTGTCTCTTGAAAGTTTAGAGGTTTCTACAGTCTGTTGTTTTTTCTTGTCTGTGTTTGTGTTGATCTATCTATCTACCTAACTCTGATTGTG